ATATATATCTGAATTAATTTAGCATAGCGTTAGTAAACTTTTCCAAAGATCATGAAATGATGAGGGACAAAGTCAATGCTCCTTGTTATGTGAACACTCTGTAAGTTATTTGAAACAAATATGTGTTTGAGTTTGACAAACACATAGTCTGTGTGTTGACACAGACCATGTGTCCCTACTGCGGTGCTGTTCTAAGCGTGATTTAGTCGTTTGAGCTCAACAAGATGCTGAAGTGTTATATATCGAGTTTCTAGGGATTGACGCTCCAATCTTGCCTGTTGCAAAATTTCAGGTTTGCTCTTATTGATTTTAATAGCCACGGCTTTTTTTGGTTTTTGTATTGCGACATTTGGTCACGACACCAAAGGTTCCCTCTCCAAGGAACGCTTCTACCTTGTAATGCTTTCCCAAAATGCTCCCAAGGATTTGTGGGCTGACATGTTGTAGTGTTCTTGCTGAGCAAATTCAATTGAGTTTTTCTCTTTGAATTCAGTCTTTCAACCTTACATAAAATACCTTTTTACAACCTGTTTGCTCATTCATTGTTTTCTTTCCAGATCGGTCTCTCTGTGTATACTACAGTAATCCTGAATCTTGTGTGCTTGTGTCTGTGTCTTGTAATTTTTCAGTGCCCAGTGAGATCATTACAGGACCTAACATCAGGTTTAGTTCTGTGCTCTCTGGGAGTGGAGTATGTCTCTTTTTCAAAGCGCTTCCTGCCTGAGCTCATCAACTTCCTGGTTGGGACGCTACACCTGGCAGTGCAGGACAAGGCATCTTTGGGTATGACACTTTTATACGGCAGGTATGCTTTGTTGAGGTGTGAAACTGACCTGACATACTCTGTGTTGCAGGTTACATTGTAGTGCCACCCTTCAGAGCATCAGGAAAATACAGCGATCTTTTAGTGCTGTCATCGTCAGAGTCCTGCAGGAGCTGGAGCAAAAAAAGCCTCCCACTCTCTGCTACTCAGCAGCTGGACCTTGAAAACGACCCTGATAGAGATACCCACAGGTAAAACATGACCCTGCTTGTTCAGTCAAGTCTAGTTCAATGCTTCTTTAATTCTTAAACAAGCACTGGGCATTATTAAAATGGTCCAATACAAATAATCGCTGTGGCTGTTCTATGTAGATTAGAAAATATCTGCATTTATCCCTAAAATTATGAAATTAAGTGTTATAAAAAATGGAGCAGCTTAGCTTAATAATATGAATACAATATAGATACTGTACAGTAGAGTTAGCTGTAAAGTAGTGAGGTGAAGTAAGGTTTTCCAAAAATCAAAGCAAACAAACAAAAAACCCTCCACAAACAGATGAAACCAGTGTAATTTTGGACATAAATCAAGATGAAATATCTCGGTTGGTTTTGAAGGGTTAGTGAAGTTAGTTGAATTATAACACTGGCAACATCTTTTAGAAGAGTTGGGGGTAAGTTGTTCTTAATGAAAGTGCTGATTTAGGGTCATTCAGTGAGACCGTTGCTGTAATTTGGCAAGGAGAAGACAAAACTGCAGCCAATAGACTGTATTAGCCTTTTCCATTAGCCGATGTGCCATGCTGCACGTGAATAATCCTAATAAAGACCTTTAGAGGGGAAGAGTGACGAGCAGAATTACGTTTGATCATCACCTGTTGCCAGCGGAGTTGTTCAGCTGTTTTCCAGCTGAGACTCCAACCACATGGAGGTTGGATGCAGACATGCGGTCTATGCCAAAATTAAAAAATTTCTTTGTTAGAGAAGCCGAATAAAACAACAACAACAACAAATCTGTAAATCTAGGAGTGCCATTGTTGACTATTGAAAGTGTAGTATGTATGATAAGCATGTAATAACAGAGATTAACACATTCCTGGAGACAGTTATAGGCAGAGTGGGAGGACAGAGAGGGAGTGTGAGAAAATCCTTTGTCTTCTCCTTCACACTGTTCATGATCAGTTTGGATCACCAAAAAGGAAATAATTAGATTGAAAAAGAACGGAGCCACATTAAAAACAACAAAGTTAATTTGTTGGTTTTTTTTGTCTTTTTTTCCTGTAAGGACAAAACTGAAGCACACAAGCGTGCATTCATACGCATCTTCTCTGTAACTGGCTGCATGTTCCACAGTGCTAATGCAATTATTGTGTGATAAACATGCTCATTATTATTACAGCCACCGCTGTTTGCATCTGATAAACCTAAAATAGGCCTTCATACTTGGTTTACCTGCATACGCTGAGTGGCTCAGAGCTGATTTATCCACTTGTGTGAATTCGGATGAGTCGCCAGCACGGTTTCACACAGCAGCTGGTGTGTGGGCACAAAGCTAAGCTTCAGGCTTCAGCAGATCCTGATTGTGCACAGTTTGTCAGAACATACATTTTTATTCATGCTCAACTAAAATGAATACTTGTATTGTAATGAGTGGTAATTATCGATAACATTTCATTAAACGTGCAGAGACATAAATGGAGCAGCCACTGGTTGAAATTTTAAAAGAGCCTCCAAAATATGGAGGCCAAGTGAACTATAATGTCCTTCAAACCAGCCCTGAACCATTTGTGCAGTGGGCCTGCGATTGTTCTCGGGGTCATTAGGGAATGCTGTTGCCATAAAGAGGTGTAAAAAAATGGTAAATGGCCTGTATTTGTATAGCGCTTTACTAGTCCCTAAGGACCCCAAAGCGCTTTACATATCAGTCATCCACCCGTTCACACACATTCACACACTGGTGATGGTAAGCTACATTGTAGCCACAGCCACCCTGGGGCGCACTGACAGAGGTGAGGCTGCCCGACACTGGCGCCACCGGGCCCTCTGACCACCACCAGTAGGCAACGGGTGAAGTGTCTTGCCCAAGGACACAACGAAGCTGGGGCTTGAACCGGCAACCTTCCGATTACAAGGCGAACTCCCAACTCTTGAGCTGCGATCGCCCAGGTGTAAATGTGAGGGGTATGGGTGAGAATAACATCCAGATGATGCTGGAGCCAGGGCTTCTACTTCCACTCGCCTTCTTCCCACTGCCGTCTTTTCCCATAAAAAGGACACATTCACAAAGATGTCCACGTGATCTAAAAAAAGGATACCATTGCAGTGAGATAATCAGTGTTATCCACCTTAGCTTTAATTTCATGGCTGATATATGTATTATTCCAATTTATTCCTCAGTCAGTTTTGAGCCGCTAATCATTTTGCTGTACAATTTACAAAGGGCAGGTCGTGTTTTCTAGTATTTGTGTTCCTAATAACTCAGAATGAGTCTTGATCAAATAGTATTCAGTGAGTCATATTTAAATGCTGTGCCCTGGGGTCTGATCCAGTCCAGTTCCCCCACAGTGTTATATACGCCACTGCATGAGAGTCCCTCTGCTCAGTTTCATAGTCTAATTTCTGCATTCCTTGAGGCCGTACAGTGACACATAAACACAAGCAGCTGTGTGTGAAGAGGCTAGTGGGTGTGGTAATTACTGCTGGGTGATAAAGCAGGCGAGGATAGTGAGTGTACACTGAAGGCTAAAGGGTGTCTAAAATGTGTAAAGATGGAGGCATGCAGTGTCACACAGAAAATAGAGCTAATGCTTTTAGAGAGGTTCAATGACTCCCTGAAGTCTGGAACCCGTGGACGTCACCAAATGCTGCATTTCCTCCTTGAGATGGTCTGGAAGACGATTACCGTAGCTGCCTTCAGTTTCTTGTTTGTGGGTCTTTCTGCATTCAGTTTTGTATTTAATAATAAAACTGCCCTTTACACTTCAGAGTTCATGCTGCTGCTTCTATCAGCAGTTGCGTCATCAATAAACACAAGTGTCCCGGTTCCAAAAGTAGCCGTATATCCTACAGCCCGGCCTCCACCCTGTTTGTAATTTGTAGTTCTGAGAGAATGAGGACTTTGATTGATCACTGACTTTTAATGTAGATCCACATGTCATTATTTCAATTAACACGTAAAATATCCGTGAAACACTAACTGGATAGGTTCATCCTTCTGATTGTGAGCCTTGGCTTTTGTAGTTCTGAGTGACATTTATAGACAGCAGGCAAGAGTTGTTTCGGACCATAAGGCGCATTAAGCAAAACAAAACAGTCAGATAAGTCAAACTTTCCTCAACTCATTCTTCTTGCTTCCTCCACTTCCGTGCCATTGATTCATTAATGTTAAACTCTCTCGCAGCTGCTCTATTCCCGTGTTGTTGCAGTATATTAATGACTAACCTTCTATTGTGGATGGATTATCTCAGTTGTTCTCCTGACTGAAGTTTGGTCCGTTTACAGCTTCCTGCCATGCGGTTGCATTTGGCCCTAACCATCGGGAACCCTCACGTTAACTTTTATCAAGTGGAAAAAAGTTAGCATTCATCCTCCAGCTTCACTGTGCTAATGTTATGCTAACATAGCTGTGTCGCTAGCGATCACGTAGGCCATCATTATATATCAGCTAGTCCAACTTCAGTAACTCTACAAATGTCACTGCTGTTTAGTTTTCTGTCTTCATTTAAACTTAATAAATTCTGTTTTCATGGATGCCTGGATGTTAAACATAATTTTTGCACCTGGTTAAACACTGATTTTTTTATTAAAGATGAAAGAATTTAGACCGTTTTTAACTCTCAATGATGCCACAGTGTTCGTTTGACTTTGGGACCTGAAGCGGACAGAGTTTAGGACCCAGATTACTCTTCGAGGCTCCTGACTACGGTCGCCGTAATGCTCAGACAATCCATCAAGCAGTGCGGCTTCATAGCTTACCAAAGTTGTACTAAAACATTTTTTTGACAGATTTTTAAGCGCCGCGTACCACATAAATTTGGTTCGAGGTCCGTGAGCACAACCAGAATTCATACATAAAGCACACCGGATTATAAGGCGCACTGATGATTTTTGAGAAAATGTAAGGATTTTAAGTGTGACTTATAGTCTGGAAAATACGGTACTTGTAAAATCAAATGTTGTGATCTGCACGTGCAGCAGTGTTTGAAAGGAAGTCATATGTGTGAAGTGAGAACTGAGCTTCAGGACCTGAGGTATATAGAGGCTAATTAACATGAGAAAAGTTATAAAACTGAAATGTTCATAATTGTGTTTTTTCACAGGTTAACGTGTTTGTCTACTTGCCTCGACCTGGTGAAGAGGTGCTGCTTGCTCTACAAAGATCTCCCCTCCTTCACACACATCTTTAAGCCAATCAGAACGCTTCTTTCAAAACATCTTTCCACCCAAATATTACCAGAGCCATTACAGGTTAGTTACAGATTTGTGCTGATTTTTTTTTTTTTTTTTTTTTTTTAAATCTTAATTGAATAAATATTCTGTGTTTAGTAACAGTGTTTGTTATTGTCATTGCAGGAGCTTAGCAGTGAGATCGTGGAGGCCATTAGCAGCACGCCTGTGACTCAGAGTGCGCTTGTTTTTGACAAGAGAAAGCCTATTCCTCTGAAGCTGCTCACGCCCAAGATTGTTGAAGTGTAAGCACCAAAATAAATTGCTCATCCAAATCGAGCAGTTCAGATTGTTCAGGTAGCCAAAGATTTACGATGGATGTCTCCCCTCTTTTTTAATATTTTGTGTGCCATTTTTGGTTATTATCAGGCTGGACTATGGAAAGAAGCGTGGCAGCACCAGAGAGGAGAGAGAGAAGGAGCGACTAAAGCATAAATACAAGAGGGAGTTTAAGGGCGCTCTGAGAGAGATCAGGAAGGACTCACGCTTCCTGGCCAGAGAGAAGCTCAACGAGGTCATGAACAGGTGTGGATATAACTCCAGCATCCGTTCAGAAATGTTCATGCTTCTCTTAGTAGACGATTTAACTTTTACACATTCTGTGTTTCAGGGATGCAGAGAGAAAGAGAAAAGTGAAAGAGCTAATGGGCAGTCTGGCCACCCAGGAGGGAGAGTGGAAATCCCTGAAGAGGAAGAAGAAGTGAAATATTTAATCTCCACCAGTTCTCCCCATTGTCTGATCATTTTCAAATGGATCTCTCCAGTTCAGCTGTGGATCACCTGTTTAAGGTTGAAATATATGGAATATACAGCTGAGAGTTCTCTGTCATGATTGCACACCATGTTATTACATATTCCGATGTAGGCGTTTGATGTGACAATTGGATACTGCTGTTGGAAGTGTCAGTCCACAAAGGAACAGAGGAGTGAATATTTTGCTCGCATTTTCCCTTTTTTAAAAAACAGAAACCATCACAACGTTATGCTGTTGTGTGTGCTGTTAACAGTGGCTATACTTTTCCAATAAAGAAGGTCAGGGTTATTCCCACTATGATAAAAATGTAAATAAATTTACAGCACATGGATCAAGCTGCATCAGTCTTCATTTTAAATGTTTAATGTTCTGTCGTATAAAACACCTGGAAACAGCTGCATGGTCTTCATATGAATGCAGTCCTGCACAAATTGAAAGGTTGTGGTCTTAGCAGGGTTATGGTAATAATTTATTACTTAGCAGCCTTTATTCATAAAAAGCTTAAAAACAAAGTATTTTATTATATACTAAATATATATATTAAATATAACTGTTTTTGTTCACTGCAACATGGAGACACGAGGCTGTCAAATGTATCTTTACAAATACAGTCTGAGTGAAATGATTTGAGCGATTCTGAGAATCTTTTGACGATGCGGTTCTTGATGATCTCGGTGGTTTATCTCGCTGTCAGGGGATTTTAGAAATCAGGTCGCACGCATCACAGGACAGTTTAAACACTTTGAATTCAGACTGCAGCTGGGCAATTGACACAATACCAAGAACCTGAACAGGAAGCAGACATTCAGATGATGTGGGTTGGTACACAGACGTTGTATGTATGGTTTGATTGGTAGGAAGGCAGGAAATGTTGGTTAAAAGGGCTTCGGTGTGGTGTTTAGTGGAGATGAATTTTCTCTTTGAGTTATGTTGCTGTTACATGCAGACACGAACACAACAGCAAGATCTGCTCACGCCTTAGCCGATACAAAATCCACATTCAGGACTCACATTAGCTTTGGAGCTGTCGTAGCCAGCGTAGTATTTTGTTTGGATACATTTCTGCATTTTTCTTAAAAACATGCTCACCCAGTAAATCCTAACCATCTCCAGAAGTGTATTAATGCTGATGTCCAGCAGTGTTCTGGTCTCCATGCTTGTCCCCACCCTGCTGGTGCTTACCTTGTCCATTTGGGTCATTTTCATGCCCTCTAGCTGTTTCTCTGTTGATCTTTTTGCAAGCTATCATCACTGCCAGTCAACTACATGCTGATCTGAGAGTGCAAGGTTATTGTGCTTACTCCTGTGCACCTTTAGGGAGTCACACTTGCTCATGTATCATCTGTTGTCCTCTTAAACATTAAAGACAGCTGCTACCTAGATCCGTCTCCATGCTGTGCTGATAGGAAGTCTGCTTTAGGAGGCAGACCAGCAACATCATGCCAGAGAAATCAGCTGAATTCTCTGGCTTTCTTTAGACTTTATTATTTAGATATGTGGTTTGATCAAAAATCGCAATCTAGCTGATTTCTGCTTGGAAACTGTGGACTCCTGGATTTAATTTAATTAAAATCTGCTCAGGGGTAGCTGGAGATTCAGCTCTCACTACCAGTGATGATTCTCCATGAGAAATTTGGAATTAGAAGTTGACCTTTGCTCCTGCAATGTTTGAGGACCTTGATGGTTGGAGCTGGACTTCCAGCGAGCGGTCTTAGAATAGCAACGTCTCTGGAAAAACCACCTGGACATGCCTGAGAAAAGGATCTTAAACAGAGACGTAAATCAGGTAAGCTTCCTGATTTTATCGGTGTATTAGCTTTTGAGCACAGCTAATACACCGCTTGCCACTGGGTTACTGTTAAATGTGGACGGTGTGACAAAACTAAAACTCTGGCTGAGCTGAACGATAAAAACGGAGGATTATCAACTACAGCATGAAAAAAGTGTTGAGGAAACAGCAATATGAATGCTACTGTGTCTAGTGTTTAAGAAAAAAAGGTTAATAAAAAATCTAAACAGCATTTAAAAATAGACAACTATTCCTGCTTTTTTTAGGCTCCTCCCACCAGATGGGCATGCAAGTACAAAATATATATTTTTATCGTTATGGCCCACATGAAATCTGAACCACGCACGCTAGTTATCCTGTGCATCTTATTTTCTTTTTACTGTTTTATAGTGCTCACCTGACCGGCCCCCAGAACATGTAGCCCACCCCAGCTTTAGCATGAATATGATGTATGCTTTTCATCAAGTGCATCATAAAACAGTGGGCTACTGCAGCTGTAGACTGATGTGTCAAGAACAATAAATACCCACCAAATCCTGCAGGACTGAAAGACATGTTGGCTTCAGTGTTGATGAAGAGTGCTGTCTCTCCAAGGAAACAAAATGTGGAAGTGTTGATTGCAAGGACATGCCTTTGTGAGTGCACGTCTGTCTCTTTTTATCTCTCCTCGCACTCTCTAAAGCCTGCAGCTGGATGGCTGGCTACAGCACATTTTCAAGCCCAACATGGTTGTTCTGTTTAGGCTGCATGCCAACATCTAATCCTAGTTTATCTTCGATTACCAAAATCCTTAGAAGATACCGAAATCTCTTAAAGCGGAAACCAGTAATTGATGAGAACACAGTGTCCACCCCAGGATGGTTTCAGAACTCAGAGACTCACCAGCCGCTTTGAGTTCTTTATATTTATACAAGGCAGGATGGATCCAGTCTTTCATGTTGTCTACATCAAATTGTGACCCTACCATCAGAAAGTTGCAGTTGAAATCAAGACTCATCAGACCAGACAATGTTTTTTACATCTTCTGTTGTTCAGTTGTAGTGAACCTGTGTGAATTCCAGCTTCAGTTTCCTTTTCTTAGTTGAGAGAATTGCAACCGGTGTGGTCTTCCTGCTGTAGCCCATCTGCTCCAAGGTTAGATGTGTTTTGCCTTCAGAGATGATCTTCTGCATATCTTGGCTGTACAGCAACCAGTGGTTATTTGAGTTTTTGTTGCTTTCCTATCAGCTCGAAGCAGTCTGGTCATTTTCCTCTGACCTCTGACGTAAACATCCTCAGAACTTTCTCTTTTTTGGGTCATTCTCTGAAAATCCTTGAGACAGTTGTTTGAAAATCAGCAGCTTTTGAAATACTCAAACGAGCCCATCTGCCACCAATTACCACGCTGTGTTTAAAGTCACTCAAATCACCTTTCGTCCCTATTCTGAAGCTCAGTTTGAACTTCAGCAGGTCCTCTCAGCCATGTCTACATGCATAAATGCACTGAGTTGCTACCACGTAATTGGCTGATTAGATATTAGTGTTAATGAGCAGCTGAACACCTAATGAACTGTTCCTAATGAAGTGGCTGTCATCGGGGGGACAGACTGATTTTTGTCCCACTTTCAGTGAGAAAGTGAAGATGCTTTGACATCCAGCTTGTGAACTACCAGTGTGATCATTGTTTTAACATACACTGTTATTCACATAACATCGCTCACCACAATTTTAAAAATGCTCTCAGCACGTTTTTATTGTTATAGGTCAGCCAACTTACTTAAAGCTAGTCTACACACATATAGATATAGCTCTATATAGATAGATTTGAATCTTTCAAATCAGATCACACTTCCTGCTACGGATTTTATTTTTTCCTGTCGTGACTACTGCGCTGTGTGTTGGCACGAGTCAGAGCTGACTTCACCGCATCCTGTTGGTGCAGAACACCGCAGCCCAGATCTTAGCTGGCACACAGATATGATTTGAACATATTATGCTGGCGCTTGCCAAATTACAGTGGCTGCCCATTATCTCCTGCATTCATTTTAAAGACGCATCTGTCACTTTTAAATAGCTTTGCCCTAATTATTCCTCAACTACTGACTAAAGGCGATTTGCCTTTTTCTTTCTTTTTACACTCTTTTATTTTAGACAATAGCTTTTTCTTTCCTTTTGTATTTAATTTCAGCAATGAAGCACAATTCTAAAAACATCATGGGCCTCACACTTTTACACATTTTATTCAACATTTAATTCCCATTAAATGAATATCAGTTCCTTACATGCTCTGGGTTTTCAAAAGTCCATCCAATATGATATAGTATATCTGTTATATCAGTGACAACTTAAAAAATATGAAAAGCACAAATAGCTCAGCACTTTATAGTCCACCGCAAAAAACAGTGACAGTATACAGACAAAAATAGAGAATATTATTCTGCTCCCATCTCAAACAGATCACTGTAAAGTGTTCATTTATATAGAGACACTTAGGTGTTTGTAGACTGCAGTATATTTCCATGTTTGAGTTACTGACATAGCCACACAGTTGACAAATATATAGACACACACGCATAGACACGCAGTGATCAGCTGGCTTTCTCAGTGGGAGGGAGTCACTGTAAATGACAGCTGGTCACAGAGGACACACACCTGAGGTCTCCTTCGAGACTGATGTTTAAAAGGCACACACCGACGCACACCAACACGTTCACGCGACATCTTTCGATCTTCACAACATTTACACGGATATTGTACAGACGTACGGGGCGGCACGGACGGAAACACGCACACACGCACGCACACCGACGCTGAGCACAGACTCCATAAAGGACCAAAACGAGGCACGACGGGACTTGGCAGAGCAACATGGAATGTTTCGATCATTTATCCTCGACAGCGACGCTCCCCAGCAGGTTATTCGTCAGAGTCCTCCTGAAACAGGCCAAAAACAATAGAGGTCTGGTTTTATCATCTGGGATGCAGATGACCTCCTGCGGCGCGATCGTTTTCACCTTGAAAGATGCATCTCTGTGCAGCTTAATGACATTACATCACAGAAACTGTGCAAAGTAACAGAGATAATGTTACACCACCCATTAAATGGTTTATTTATGAACTCTGGTGGCTGTCTGGAGCTGCTCACAGTCTGTCTTTGCCTTAAGCAGGATATAACCTTTAAGCAAGTTGCCAGCAAATGCCAAATAATATATGAACCTTTCATTTATTTAACAGAAATGTTGATGTAAGTTAAAGATTATTGTCTTGGGTATGCCAAAGACACAGCGAGTTACCGTGTCGCTGAGCTAACTATCCATTTGCTAAATATGTGTTAAAATGAATGAATAGTTTTATACCGTAATACCTCTAATAAAACTTAGGTGAGGTTACACCTGCAAGACTTTATCCAGTCAAGTGTGATTTGCAGCTAACACGGTCGGTGGGGGCAGGTGGGCCTTACCTCTGTGACATCAGCAGGGTCGGTATCAACTGGTGACTCTGCCACATCCTGTACCGCTGAGGCATCGTCGCTCTGGAGAAAAACCAAAGAGAAATGTTTTATT